ATTCTCCTTTGCTGTATAAACCTAACACATTCACAGTTATAAGAATTAGGATGTGGACATCTTGGGGGTGAAAGGCATGTGATTATTCTGCCTATCACAGGCCAATTGCTGCTGGGATGTCTTTGCATATAGGTCCTCTCAGTGTGTAGAGCTAGTAGTGTACTTAGTTTAGGAATCAGTTTTGTAACAGGAGGTGCTAGCTCAGATGGTGGCTCATCTAGAAAATTGATCAAATGGCAAATCTCAAACAGTATGAAAGATAAATGTTTTGGTCCCATGTTAGCATGAATCCCCAAATTGTAATCACAACCAAGAAGCCTTATCTTGCCAACCAAAAGCCATCAATAAATACGTATGTCCTCAATGTCAAGCAAGAATTTCTACAATCTGTAGGTATTATATGATAATTTCTACCTTTATAGAGTGCAATGAAATTTGCAGAAAGGGTGGTTTTCTCCATTTTTCTCCTTTTTGTGATTCAAGTTTGAAATTATATTTAGAATTAAGTTTGCTTTAGAGTATTATTTAATTGCTTGCTCATTTTATACTTTGATTTCTATCTTGTATTTTTAGCGCAGGCACATTTGAAACCTAATGATACAGCGTACTGTAATAGGATCATTGCTGGAAAAAGGTCATAAAATTGTCTGCCTCCATTCAATGTTTTTAAAAGCCAGAACCTTCATGGAAATAATCTTAGAAGAGGGATGTGGAGAACATTACCTAATTTGTAATGTGAGCTCAGGGTAAATAGGTCTTCCCTAACTTTGTCTATATAGCATTTAGCACCCTGACAGAAGTTGAAATTTTGAGAAATATAACTACTTGTTAATTCTGGATTTATTTGGATAACTACTATTGTTATACACAAGTACACACTCAGTAAATATAGTATTTTCTTATCTTGGTGATATGTTTACACAAAATTAGCATCTGTCCATATTATTTATTCTTATTTAATAGAGACCTGTGGGTAGCATTGCCGTGGTTGCATCCACATCCTTTATTTAGGACTGAAAATAGTGTTGAAGGGAACAGTTGTCTGTCTCTTCCACATTGCTTTTATTTCTGGTGTCACATTCATTGTGCCACAATAGATATCATAATGAATACATGGATAACAGTGATAAATTTTAACCTATCTTTGAGGTTCAATTTTTAGAGCAGTAGGTGAGTAGTGCAGATGTTTTTATGATTCCCTTAACTATATCCATCTACTCTAAAATGAAAAAAGAAAAAAATGGTGAAAAGCCTTATGTTTTATTGAGAAGGAATGCATGATGTTAAAAATACATTCCAGTAAGTAGGGTCCCCCCCACCCCCCAGCCAACTCTAAAACTTGATAAAAGGGAATGTAAGTCAAAGAAAACTAGGTTTGGACAATAGTGTATGTTCAGGGATTACTCACATCTGCTTTAAGAAGGCAGTACTGATAACGTAAATGGGGTTTTAGAAAGAAGATAGTGGTAGCAGAGCTATGCCAGTATGCACAGATTTTATCTTTATAAACCTGCCAGACTCATAGCCCTTGTGTGAGAAATTCAGGTTAAAGACAGATTGTCCTATGGTGGAAAAGTATGAAAAAGACAAGTTATGTAGACTAATTTTAAAGATATAAATTACACTGTCATTAATCAGCTCATAGAAATATGAAGTAAATGTCATAAAATGTGTGTTTTGAGGGTCTCAAGAACATTAAGAAAAATTGAGTTTTCTTTAGACACAGATAAAATATGCACTGATGACAGTGAAAGGGGGGGAAAGCCCTGGCAGACTGTTCCTGTGATTTTTTTTTTTTTTAAATGGGAAATAGAGAAGGACATTTAAACTAAAGGAAGTAAAAGAGATTCAAAAGCATTGGTCTGAAATTTCTGCAAGTATACAGAATATTAGAAAATTTTTTTTAGCAAAATTGCTTCCTTCCCTCAAGGGAGCAACAGATATTATCATTTGGAATGGAGAAATACATTCTATCTATCAGTATTATTCAGTCTAGAACATCCTTTACAAATATGAAGACAGTGTAGAATTAATAAAGATTCAAGAAAAATGCACATGTTTAAAGAGAGTCTAGTACTAAGAATTGGAAAGTCTAATCTCTGAAGAATATTTAATAATTCTCTGAGGAGAACTTAAACTATGTGTAATGAATATCCTTAGAGAGATTCAAGTGTATATGCAGAGAGGCTGTTCAGTATAGTGATTTAAAACATGAGCTGTGGGGTTAGACTGCCTGTGTTTGAAACCCAGTTTTACCACTTACCAGTTCTTTGGGCCTCAATGTCCCTCAGTTTCTTCATCTATTAAGTAGGGATATTAATTTTACCTAATTCATAGATTTTTCTTGAGAATTAATTGAATGAAAAATGCTTAGAACAATACCAGAAATATAGTAAACATTAAATAAACATTTTTATTTTAATTATATTATTTATTCATAAAAATTGGCTGCTATGAAAATGGACCAATTATAAATCTTGAAGATGAAAAATATGATTGTTGAAATGAACTCAATTAATAGGACAGATGCAGCTGAAGATCAAATTAGTGAGTTGGATGATCATTCCAAGAGATTTTCCTTGAATACAATGTCAAATGAGAAATTCTGTAAAACCATGGGTAAAGAGAAAATCATAAAAGGGTCTAGAGAAAGAAGTATATTATCTCATTAGGAAAAATTAGGTTATCTGCGTAAATTTGTGTAGCTAGATATCTTACTAGTCATATTAAACGATAGAAGACTGTGGAAAATAGCTTTGAAATTCTGAGGGAAAAATGATTTGGAACCCCAAATGCTATTTTTAGCCAAACTAGCCTCCAAAATTGTGAACAAAACAAAATACCTTTCAGGAATGCAAAGACTCAAAACATTTAAAAAAAATTTTTTTTTGAGGAGAACAGAAGCACATAGGCTACAAGAAATGATGAGTAAAGGGAGCAATTTTAAGGTTAAGTGTAAATAACTAAAAATGTTTCTAAAAATGTGAAGTTTTAGGAATGTGTTAGTTTAATAATAATTAATAATTATTATGCAATTGCTTTATATTATAGTAATATAGTAATAACAGCAATTTTTTGAACTATTGGATGATTTCTACAAATCTTGTAAGACAAGACAAGGCATAGTTTTTTTGTATTACTATTTTAAGAAATTTAAACTTAAATTTAAAACAAAACAGGGTCTATGTTGCTCAGGCTGGTCTCGAACTCCTGGCCTCAAGTAAGCCTCCTGCCTTTGGCCTTCCAAAGTGCTAGGATTACGGGTGTGAGCCATTGTGCCTGGACTTAGTGTTTTAACTTTCACATTTTAGTCTATAATCCATCTCAAATGAATTTTTGTGTATTATATGAGATAGAAATTAAAAGTCCTTTTCTCTGTATAAATATTCAATTGACTGATACTATTTATTAAAAAGACCAAAATTGTTAATTTAAATAACAAAATATTTTAAAAGTATTACAAAATAAATACATATTGCTATAAAAAGATGTCAAATAATACAAAATAGAATGAAACATCAAAGTCCTCCTTTATGACTACCACTACCTTCAATCCTACTCCACCAATCATAATCTGTTTTTTGTTAATCACGGTTAATAATTTGATGTGAATTCTTCTACTTCTAAAAAGTTTGTTACGTATATGGTTGGTACTTTTACAAAATACGTAGACCCTGTTTCTACAAAAAAAATAGAAAAATTAGCTGGGCATGGTGGCATGTGTCTGTAGTCTCAGCTACTCAGGAGGCTGAGGCAGGAGGATCACTTTAGCCCAGGAGTTGGAGGCTGCAGCAAATTATGACATCACTGCATAATGGTGATCATTTTGCATATTCTCTTGGTACCATTGTATTGACTGAATGATGATAGCTATTGTTTTAGTTGTGTTCTTTGTTTATAAGGAAGCACCGCACATCCCTGCCAGCTGAAATAATGAGTGTATATTACAAAGATATGCGTGGCAATAAGAGACCTGAACTCTCATAGATATCCAAGAGGTGGATCCATGGACTGGCCAGGACTTGTGGAGATTAAAACTGCCCTTTGTTATGAATCGAAATCAGCTTTAGTCAGCTCAGCTCAGCATCTAGAGTTTTTGACCTTCGTTCCCATATGTCATCTTTATCTTGCCTCAGATACCACTGCTCTTTGGTCATCCGTTTGACTTTATAGTATCAGCTTGTTTGCTTTCTCCGTGGTCCCAGGTGAAATTTGTGAGGGAGAACATTTGGTTAGCCTAGATATTTACTATGTTTGGCCCAAGCTTTTCTTGCTTCTTGGGCTCTTGAACACACTATGGATTGGCTGCCTTGAGTCAGGTATCTACCACAGTAGTTCTAGTTGTCTGTGGCCAGCAGGAGATGGCCAGTAATCTAAAACATGACTCATTTAGGTCTACCTCTTCAGTAACAAGGTTAATTTGCCGTAGGGAAAAGGAATGTAGTCACAGTGTACACTGCAGTTAATGTGGTTAGCAGCCAAGGCTTTTATTTCTTTTAAATAAAATCAAACATGGCTAGCATTGAAAATGGCAGTTGCATTTAGAAATTGAGTAGTATAGAAAAGGAGATATTAAAGAGAATGCTGATACTCATGAACTGAGGACAATCCTTTGCTTACTGCTCTGGAAGCCTGACAACACATATTTTAGTTCTTGTAGCTAAGTTGGTTAAAATGTCTGTTTAGTTAGGATTGTTAAAATCTTGGATGAGTTAGTTGTAAGAATTACAGAAAGTTTCTTCGTTGATATTTTAATAGCTAATTTTGACTTGAAAAGATGTTTTGAGGATTTTGCAAACCTGAAGATTATCAAACCCCTTTCACAATATTCTCTGGTATATGTGTTATTTATTTAACTCAAGATTAGTGCTGAATTTATCATGAGATGCTTATTATGATAAATAATTTATAGTAAAACCAAAAATGCTGAAATATTCAATAATATGTGGATATTGGCAGTAAAATCGAATGTAAATACTTGTTAAATTGATTCTAGGTTGGGCCATGCAGGCTGCTGCCTATATCTTCATTCATAGGAAATGGAAGGATGACAAGAGCCATTTTGAAGACATGATTGATTATTTTTGTGATATCCGTGAACCACTTCAACTCCTCATATTTCCAGAAGGGACTGATCTCACAGGTAAGGTAGCCTGGGTTTGGATCACAAAATTTTAAAACATGAAGGAACTTATAAATCATCTAATCTAAATTTCTTATTCCTCACAAGAAGTAACTGAGCACCAGTAAGATTAATGGCTCACACCTAAGGTCACTCAGATAACAGTAGCACATCAGGACACAGAACTCCTGGTTTCCAGCCTATTGAATTTATAATAGTCAATCCCAAGAGATCATTATTATTCACAACTTGCTATCTTAGAGCTTTATATTTGTAAGCCTCAGAATATATTTTAAAATATTAGCCTTTCATTTTTACAAGCCTAGTTTTAAAATCAGGTTTTAGGTTGGGTACAGTGGCTCATGCCTATAATCCCAGTGATTTGGGAGGCTGAGGCTGGAGGATCACTTGAGGCTAGGATTTCGAGACCAGCCTGGGGCAACATAGCAAGACCCAATCTCTGAAAAAATAAGAAAAAAAATTAGCCAGTCATGGTGTCATGCACCTGTAGTCCCAGCTACTCAGAAGGCTAAGGCAGGAGTATTACTTGAGTTTGAGGCTGCAGTGAGCCGTGATCATGCCACTACATTCCAGCCTGGGGAATAGAGTGAGACCCTATCTCTAAAAAAATAAATAAATAAAATAAAATTATGTTTTAGGTAAAGTTTGTCCAGCATGTTCTATATATTCTCTTGTCCTCTTCCAAGGTATTTATTTATCTATTAGACCCTTTTTCAAGTTCTTCCTTATAAGAAAAATTACTGATGGGAACTAATTTCAACTATTGGTGATTTAAGTTAACGTTAGCTTTCTCCTGGTATCTAAGCCTTATGCCTACTATAGGCAGGAAAGGCTTTGTCCTTTCCTGAAGAAAATCTGAGTTGTAGAAAGGGCACAGGAGAGCATGTTTATAACTTTTCTGTCTGCCCAGATAGTAAACCATATAGGCCAAAAATGCAAAGGATTTCAAGGAATTCTTACAAAGACTAAAAACAAAAATATTGTACAGTTTGTCATCCTTACTAAATCAATAGCTTTCATACTTTTTTAAACCACAGGTCATTTTTTGCAAATGAAGCCTCCTACTTAGGATGTAAGATAAGATAGATAAAAGTAGGAGTGCTCTGATTGATACTGGGAGAGATGGAGGGAATAAATTAGACAAGAAGCAGTTCTGTAGAATCCTTGGACTCAGAAGAGCAAAATTTACCTTTAAAACCCCGATAACTTCAAGAAGGATACAGCAGAATTTGAGAGAAGGATCGAGGTCTTCCACATGAGGGAATAGAGACTAAAGCAGGATAGAACTGAAGTCTACAAATCACAAGCAGTATGGAGAGGTGGAACATGAACTTCTCTTCCAAATTCTTGATAATAGACTGAAAAAGACAACCCTTAGAATTTAAAAGAGGAGAACAGGTAAATGAACATCCTAATTCACACTGTGGACATAGTAATTTATGAAAACCACTACCCAAAAAGAATTCAAGATGAAAAATACAAATTATACAAATACTTAAATAAGTGAATGGGCGACTGAGTCATAATAGGCTGATAAGGGAAATTAAGGTGTTAAACTTTTACCACAGATACCAACAAAAAGATTTTTAACTCATCTATTGCACATAGAAAGGAGCTAAATGAAATGTGGCAATTTTGATATACTAGGCAAATCTCTAAAATAGATGCTTACTGTGTAGTATATGTTTGTTTTATGATTAAAATTCCAAAAGTAGTTGTATCAAAGAGGATAATACTGAAAATAATATTGGCTGCCTTTTATTTAACCTTGAATATATATCATTGTAAGTTGATTGATTCCCAGAACTGAACTATCATTATAATGGATAGCCATATTTAAATTTTATAATACTTAGAATGTACAATACTTAAGTTTGGATATTGAAACATCAGCTTCATTTAATAAATATAGAGCGTAGCAAGCCATTTACTGAAATGATGTATTTATATCTGTGAATACCAAAACATACACTAAAGAATGGCAACTTTGAAAGTTATTGAGTAAATAAAAGCTAATGGAAAAAGAGATCATATGTTGCTGCTACTCCGGTACACTAGGTGTTAATGTGTTCATACATTAGACTTATAAAGTCTACAAAATATATATGCAAAACCTTTTCATTCTATATTTTTTCTCAGGTTTCTTTTATAGACAATGAACTTTACATCTAGTTGCATATTTTTGGAGTCCAGAGTGCTCACCGTTACACGATGTAGTAGCATATTTTTTTTAAGTTCAAATGGTATTTACATTTTAAGGCCAACTGACAAAAGCCAGACTATTTGCCAAATAGAGAAACCAGACTGATCCTGAAGCTTTAAAACTTTTTTTAAACAGTATTATACAGATAATTTTATTTAGTTGGGAAAAAAGCTTTTAAAAAAATGGGCTAAGAAAATATCTCCAATTTGGATAAAGTATCTGTTAATTAAAAAGTGTATTTAGTTACAACAGTTAACTTTAAACTTGGATTTTTCAACCTGAGAGAATGTTTTATAACTTACTTTAAGTTCTGAATCCAGCTTGCTTGCACATTTTCAAATTAGTGCATTTAAATATAACTATATACATACATTCTATCTTCATATATTATTGTTGGCAATAACTTTTTTCTCTTTTATGGAAGTAATATATATTAATTTGGGGAAATTTAG